CCTTTTTACATTTTTTAAAGGATTGCTAGAAAATTTAAAACTACATATGTGACTCATATGTAGTCTTATGAGGCTCAAGTCATATTTCTATTGGACGCCACTGGTCTATTTAAAAGATGAAGAGACTAACACCGCAATTCTGGAGGGTTTAGGAAGTGCATGCACACAAAAATACAGACACACACACAGAGTCTGTGTGAAATTTAAATGCAGCATAAACATGAACTCTAACTCCAGAAAGAGTCCTCTGGCGATCTGAAGTACAAGTGAGGAATAAAAGTAACTGTGACAGCTCTCCCTCCCACCAAGACAGGGATTCCAAGTGACTCAAAACCTCCTCTCCAGCAAGAAAATCTGGCAAAGACATGGCCTTCCCTCTAGCACCTGTCCTGCAGGTCTCATTCAAGGTCAACCAGCTGGGAGGCAAGCCTGACCACCACACAGCTTGAGACTTCACAGGTGGCTCTGAAGACAGGCTCCACCAGGGGACACACATGTGGCACAGGACACCTGCCCCACAGGGTTCACGCAGAAGTCAGCTAAGGTAACAGATGAGAAACTGGAGTACAGGCAGTCCAGTGTAACTGCGGCACATCATGGTGCATCACGCAGTCCACACCTTTCACACTCTTTCTAACCATGACTCACAGAGCAATTCCATTTCTTATCATGACAGGTTATCAGCAAGTATAAATAAAACAAAAGTTTCACCAGACAATGCTCACCTTCAGTATTGTGCTACACCTCTGCTGTTTGTGTTCCCTTGTATACTATTTTTTTGTGTGTTGATTGTGATGCACTAAATTGATTTTACAACCCACTGATGGGTCCTGACACAGCCTAGCCCGGGAATGGTTAATAAGAGGTACACTCCCCATTCTGGGATAGACACTGCACCCCTCTCTCCAGAATATGGGCGTGTGAATGTGACCTCAGAATCCTTCTCAACACAGCGATCCTGGCAGCTTGGAGTCAGAATCAGCGATGAAACCTACATATACATTATCGTTGCTCTGATCCCAAGCTCTCATTTTACAGATGCAAAAACTGAGGCTCAGAAAGAACAAATGATCTGGCCAAGGTCATACAGCAAGACCGTGAGAAAGCTGGGGCCCCTGTGAACCCACAAATGTACCTCACTTTACATCAGCAGAGAGGAGACATGACCAACACAAAATATTTCAAGGACACAGAAAAAATTCAAATTTCACCGTGACCATGAGAAGTCAGGCTTACACGTCCAGTGGAACAGAGCAAGGAAGTTCTTATCGCCCCACCAGGGAGATGAAGACAGGAGGCCTCTGAGGTCAGAGGAAACAGCATTCCAAGAGCCGAGTCAAAGGTGGGGGGGAAAAACTGTATCTGACAATGAAGGAGTTTTTAAAGTCTGTTTCTCAAATGAAACAAACCATGGGCTATTTATTTTCTAGGACCAGGGAGAGGTCAGCCTTCCACTGACCAGCCATCTTTGTTGCTTTCCTTCTGCAAAAGCAAGAGGCCTTGTTCAAGTTCACCACGGTGCAGGACTGAAGTATAAGCAAACCCTGTTTCCTCGCTGGGTCCAAAGTCAAGCTATAAAGCAGGCCCTTGAAATTTCAAACCTTATTAGAAAAAAAAAACCTCCTTAGGCAGAGAAGCAAAACATTAAGTAATAAGAGTCTCCACTGTGAAAGTGAGTTTAAATGATCTTTCACCAAAATAACTCAGCCCATCATCAAATTACCACCCCTCAAGTCCAATTTGCCAGATTTTTTGCCCAATATTCTAAGAGCGTGTGGTGAGCAGACATGGGCTAATAAAAATTAGCCCATAGATCCATTTCTGGTCACATTTCCACCTAAAATGGGAGGTGAAAGAGGCAAGGCCCAGGTCAGCTCTCAATCCTGAGAGACGCCAATAGAAACAAAAGAAAACTGACCCCGCCTCCAACAGTACCATCATGCACCTCTGTTTCCTCTACAACAAACATGATCAGAATAAACAATTTTTTTAAGGGAAAAACAGGTCTACAACACAAAAAAAATGATTTCCCATTTCTAGCCAGGAGTTCCCTTTAAAATGGAGACAACACAACAAAATTTCAGCAGAATGGAACGAAGGAATCTGAGTTGCGTGTCACGAGAGCCAGGACACACAAAGGGACAGGCTGCAATTATTTTTATTCCTTGCACCAGAAATAACCTGTTATCTACAACCCTGACTTTTTCTCAGATGCCTGGTAGGGGTGCCCACCTACCCTCCCCAGGCCAGGGCACAGCTCTCCTCTATCTCCTGCTAAACTCAGGCCTACTGTCTCTTGAGGCCACCGGAGTCCTTGGAAATTATAAATTCTTTGACCGTCCTAGACATCGGCCTAAATAATTCAACAGAAAAAAAAATTTTAATTATGCTACTTTAAAAAAAAAAAAAGCTCATTCCAAATATGTCAGAATGTGGCCAGTCAGCCCTGAAGGATTTTGTTACTAAAAAAATAAAATCTCCCAAATGCAACGGCGATGATGGGAAATGTCGAACCTCTGCCACTGTCAAATATATTTCACAGAATTCATATCCCCTTAGAAATCTGAATTTCTACAAAACAGGGTTGGGAATCCATGGACTGGGACTACCATTGCTTCCAAGACATCTATCTGGTGACTGGTGAAGGGGGAGCAGGGCCTCCTGCCCCAGCCCTGTGTGACACCCCCATCAACTCCTCACCCAAGACCCCATGCTGCAAATGCTGACAATATTCCACCCCCCCCTTTGGACAGAAAAATGAGAACTTTTTTTGTTTTTGTTTTTGGTTCAAAATCCCCAGCAAATTCAATCAGAGAGTAAATTCATCACAAATAACCTTCCAACTTTGGGTGGGTATCTTATTTTCACCTGTTAAATTTTAATTTGGTGAATATTTGTCTTCTAAAAAAATTTTTTTTTGTTTCACCTTCATTTGATCTATTTTAAGGCCAAAAAATACATCAAATGTTGTTTGAACATGTGCTTTCATGTTCCAATGCAAGAACCTTTGGGTTTGGCTTTTGTTTGTATTTTGATTTTTTCCTTCAAAAATAAAATTAAATTTTTATGCTAGAATCAATCAAATTGGTGTTTTACCTCATTTTTTCAGCAAAGTAAGTGTTCCAAAAGGGAAGGTGGATAAGAATCAGAATTTTCATCTCCTTCCTCTGTCCTTCCCTTTTTATCTTTCCTTCTTAAATTAGTAAAATTTGTGCTTCTAAAAAAAAATCACAAACACCCTAAAAAGATAAAGGCTAATGGATTTTTCTTCCCCTTTGAAAGTAATCAAATTTGTGGAATAAAAATAGCGAGTGTTAATAAACTACCAAGCCCAAATCACAATCAAAGAGGCCTGAAACCAATCTACATTTTTTTTAAATAATAAATTTTTCAAATTGGAAGAGTGAGCAAGCACAGAAAAGGGAAAATTTTCTTCCTCCAAGAATTCCTCAACCCTTGTCTTTATCAACTGATTCAGTTGTATGTCATAAAAAATGAGCTTCTGTGAATCCACTGTTAGTTTTTTCATAATAATGTTAATTATGCATATCTTATTTTAATGGCGGTCTCTCCTACAAATCTGTGGGCTACTCAATTTGTATAATGTAATGCATTTACGTTTTTTCTACTTAATATTGCTCAGAAAAGGTTTCTGACATTTTCTGAATAAAACAACAACAAAAAGAAATGCCTAGACCTTTCAGAAAACAAAATCAGAAAACACTCTTAATTATTCCATCAAAACAAAACAAAATAACACAAAACCCAACATACACATGGAAAAAATGAGAGGATTTCACTCTAACTTTTCCAGTTTCTGTTTTTCTTTAGAACCTTAGGATTTAAATGCAGTAAAATGTAAATGCAAAATTTAAAAAAAAAAAACACCTACAATTTCTGGGTGTGTCCAAAGCCAATATTTTAGGGTCTATTTTCTCTTTTAAATCCTTCCTTCTTGGAAATAGAAAAACTTAAATATTCCCAAATGGTGAAATTAGTCTTTTTTGCCCGCTAAGCTAAACAAGTTCCAAATTACAATGAAGTACAATTTCTAATTGCTTCATAAAGCCAATTTCTCCCAGTTTTCCCTAAACTCAACAATTTCCCTCCTTTCCTCATTCCAGTTAGTTTTTTTCTCAAACTAAAATGAGTTAGGCAACCAAATTGACTTTGGTTTTAGGAGGTTTTTTGCTTTCATCCCTTCAAACACTGAATTCATTCAAATTCCAGCTTAATTTTCATTTACATATTATCTGGATTTGGCTTCAGAAATAAAAATTGTCTTCATGTTCCTGGGAAGGTCAAAGTGAAAATTTTCACCTCAAAAAGGAAAAAAAAGAATCTCTTTCTCCACCACTGCCTTGTAGAGCAAACTTTTGAAAAAATAAGAAATAAAAAATATTTCTTTTCAATTTTAATTTCTTTTTTATTTACAAAATAGTATCCTCTAGGTGGCGTCATTTTAATGGGAAAAAACTACCGTTTGAAGAAAAATTAGAAAAAAAAATGAGAAAGCGAAATATGGCCTTAAAAAAAAAAGATTGTTGCAAAGATGGGGGTCCAGAGAGGAAAAACCTCCCGGGGGGTCATCAGGAACCCGGAGCGCTGAGAGGGTCAGGGGGAAATTGCAAATTTGGAGGGGAGGGGGGAGAGCTGGAAGGGGTTGCATTTTTGCAAAATGTGAATTGTCCAAACTGAAATGGCTGCTCTGTTCTCTCACCGCTTTGTTTTCTGGGCTCCGGTCCGAGCCCGGGGCCGGAGAGGGCGCCGAGTTGGGGGTCCGAAAAGACCCCATCGTCTCCCCCACCCTCCTCGCACCCCGCGGCGCCCGGAGGGGGGGCTATCCAGACCCTGACCCTCCCGTTAGTGCCCACAAAAAGCCCGCAAACGTGCCCAGGCACTTTGCATTTGGCAAATATTGCAATGAAGTGGCGCAGCGCCCCGGGCCCCGGGCCCCCGGGGTCCCCCGCGCAGTGCATGCCCCCGGCCCCCCGTCGTACCTGCGGAACCGCCGCGCCGCCCGGCTGGTTCATGGGTCCGTGCGGGAGGAGGCGGCCCCGGCGCGTCCTGCTCCTCCCGGGCCGGGCTGCTGGTGCGCGCACAATGCCGCCGCCGCTGCCGCCGCTGCCGCCGCTCCCTCCTCCGCCCGCCCCGCTCAGGCCGGGGGGGCGGGGGCGCTGGGGGCGCGCGGGGGGGGCGCCCGGCCCTCGCCCCCACCCCCGGCCCGCACCGGCCGCCGCCGCCGCCGCCGCCGCCGCCGAGCTGCCCCCCGCGGGGCCGCCGTCGCCCCCCGCCGCCCTGCCCGCCCCCCGGGCCGGCCTCGCCGCGCGGCCCGCGAGCTCCGGGCCTCGGCCTCCGCGCTGCCGGCCTCCGCGCCGCACACAAAGCCGGCCGGCCCCCGGGCACGCCGCTGCCACCCGCCCGCCAGCCCCGGGGCCGAGGCGCACCCGCCCCCCAAACTTTCCCGCGCCGCGCCCTGCCCTCCGCGCGCCCCCGGGGCCCGCCCCCCAGCGCCCTTCTGCCCTCCCCCCCTTCTGCAGCCCCTTGGAAAAGTCATTTTCACGTTGGAAAAAAAGTTTGGGGAGCCGCCTCTCAGTGGAACGCAAGGGGTTAATGGGAACTCTTCTACTCCCACTACCCACCCCCAAAAAGTCAAGATTGATTTTTTGAATAAACTTTGTAGAGCCGGCCTTATGGAAGAATCGGAAGGCTCCATGAAGGTATTTCTATTACCCCTGCCACTCCTCCAAAAAAATCCAATGTCATTTAAAAATAAAAGTTTGAAGAGCTGGCCTTATGTCAGACAAGAGGGGTTAAGGGGACTCTTTCTAGACCCCCAATCAGATTGGTTTTAAAAATAAATATTTGAGGAGCTGCTTTATAATCATATGAAATGCTGGGTGAGCACAGTATTTCTACCTACCCCAGTTAAAAAAAAAATTAAGAATGTCGATTTTAAAAATAAAAGTTTGAAGAAATGGCCCTATGTGAGAAAAGACAAGTTATAGGTTGAGGGGGGTTAGCCCCCTCCCATGTGCCCCAACCAAGTTTATTTTAAAAAGAAAAACTTGAAAAACTGTTCTATGTGGAATAAATGGTGAACAAGAATGATTCTATGCAACACTCTAAAAAGTCAGATTTTTTCTTTATTTGAGGAACTGCCTCCTTGTGACTTGGGAAGTTTTAGAGGGGATTTTTTTTTTCTGTCCTCCTCCTCATCTGCCCCAAAACATCAATTTAAAAAAAAGAAAAATTAAGTGTGAAGGACCTGCTCCCTAAGGAGACAAGAGGGATTACAGGATCCAGCCTACATCTCCCGCAATAGATGGATTTTTAGAATAAAAATTTGAAAAACTGCTCATATGAGATTAGAGAAAGCTTTCTCTGCCCCCCTCACCCCCTCCTTGAGAAGAAAATACAACTATATTTTTAAAAAATAAAAGCACTGGAAATTAAGGATAAACAGGTATGTTTTCACTGCCCCCACCTTAAAAAAAAATAAAAAATAAATTTAAAGAGCTGGATCAGCTATGAGGCAAAAAAGCTTACAGAATTTTTTTCTGTGCACTCCCTAGAAAAGTTATTATTTTTTAAATGTCAGGAAACAGAGGGACTGTATAGAAGACACTTCCTCTTTCTGAAGAATGAAAATGTGGGAGCGTAGCCCTGTATAGGAGGCATAGCATTAAGAGACACTGTTACCAGGATCACAAACACACACATACACGCGTGCGCACAAGAGGTTAAGAGGGATCTCCTAACCATTCCCCTACCCCCCAAACATTGGAGAGCCATTTAAAAAAAGTGCCCACTTCCCTCCCTGCCAGCCTGGCAAGTATGTTCCTGGCAGAGGTTCGGCAGCCTTTGCCAAAGCTGCTGTAAGACGGGCACCAAGGGAAGCCGGGCAGCCTGCAGTTTGGCAGAGTTGGGCTCCCATGGGCCCTGGGCATGTACATGGTGGCCAGAGAGCCCCCTGCCTGCCTGCCCCTTGTCCATCAGGTGGCTGAGGACTTGTTGCCTGGACAGATGACCAGCCTTCATGTCTCTGGCTTCATCCCTGTGTGAAGGTTTCTGGGCAGCTTCCTCAAGGCCAAGTCCTCCCCTCTTCCTAGGGGAGCTAAGCCTGACCTTAGACCCTAGAATAGAAAGAAACTGGACCCAAATAACATTGTGTCTCAGTCACCAGACTCGGAGCTATAGGGTATTAAGTGGGGTGAAAGCCTTCACTGGGAGTCAGGAAAACATGATGCAATTAATATTCATTGAGAACTTACTACTATGTGCCCAGCACTTTATATGTTGTAGTAAGGCAGACATATCACGGAGCCAAGGATTGCTTGCAGCGGCCCTTCTCAAACTTGAATGATCCTCAGAATGGCTGGGACAACCTGTGCAACGACAGATTGTTGAGCCCCACCCAGAATTTGCATTTCTAACAAGTTCCCAGGGGATGCTAAAGCTGTTGGTCTAAGGACCACATTTTTTTAAAAAACCAATGCAATACTGCAAAATGCTCAGGTGCAGGAGAAAGAGGAAGGGCCCTACTCAGCCTCTGGGGTCAGCGAAGACTCCCGGAGGAATAACACGCTGCTGGAAGGCTAGGTAGAAGCACCCTTCCTCTCGGGATCGAAATCAGATGGCAGGGGCTCTCTGGATTAGGGCTTCTTACATAGAGACCTTGAATAGGTTTGGGGACCTAAGCAATCTGTGTCTTAAGCAAATTTGGGTCTATATGTACACTTTGGGGAGAGAAAATCTCTGACTTTCATTTCCTCATAAGGGTCAGTTACACCAATCTGGAATGACCTGCCTGCAACCTGCTTCCAGCCACGTCTGGCCTGGGAAATTCTTCCAGGTCTCTCTCGGCCTCCTCTTTCCAGAAGCACAGCAAGCCCTTCCTGCTTCTCTAACACCCACAGGCCACAGGAGCTGCGCCTTCTCTCTGCCAGCACATCCTTGAGGAGAGTCCAGAGTGCATTCAACGCCACCTTGGACAGGCATGTCCGACAGGGGTCCCAGCCCTGAAGGGTCTGTCCCTTCTCTCTGTCCCACCTGGGCCATGAAGGGCATGCTGAGGGGACAAGAGCTGACCCTGCTGTCTTCCTCACAAAATCAAGTTTCTAAGTGAACACTCGTATTTCCCAAACCATAGTGGAAACTCCGCAGTCACCCAGAGCTGTGATTTATCCCCATCCAGAAGGCTAACTAAGGGTTAACTAGAGGAGGAAGGACAGGGAGAGGAGCCAAGTATTTAGTGAGATCCCAGGGGACAAGACCAGACCTGTTCAATGATGGAACAGAGGTACCATATTGCAGGGGCGGAATGACCATTGGTCAGAGCTGCCGAGAACAGACACTTACATTAGGTAGAAACATAGTCCAGCAGGGACCTCCAAGGGCTTACTGGTTCCCTACGGATCCGTAATTCAATTCAACATACCTACATTTATCAGATTCTGGAAACTTCTGACCCCTGCCATGCCCAGCCTGCTGCCCCCAGAACCGGCACTGCCGCGTTAACACCTACTCAGCTTAATTGTTAAGATCCCGTCTGCTGCCCGGGTTCCAACCTTGGCTCTGGCCCTTGCACGCTACATGATCTTGAGCAGATAATTCAACCTCCCCTTGCCTCCATTTCCTCATCTGTCAAATGGTGCTGACAACAGTATCTCCCCCGTGGGGGTGCTCCGAGGATGAAATGAGATAACACATGTAAAGCTTTGAGAAAATGCCTGGCATAAAGCACGTACTCCATGCATGTCAGCAATCGGATTCACAGAGACACGTGTTCCCCGCCTCTGCCGCTGACTAGCTGTGTGCGCCTGGGCTGGCGGCCTCATCCCTGAGCCCACGTTCTGTCTCTGTAAAATGGGGAGCTAAAACCTATCAGTCTTACCAACGTTCTTTCGATTGTAACCAGTAGTAACAAAATTACACTGAACTGGAGAAGAAGAAGAAGGAGGAGGAGAAGGAGAAGAAGGAAGGTGTTATCAAATTAGGAGGTAGATCTCGGTGCCCAAGGAGGGAAAATGAAACGAAGCCTCAAGGAGATTTGGAGCTAGGCACTAGAAAATCATCAGGCACGGGCTTGCCCTTGCCAGCACTGCGGGCCTGGGTCTCTTGCCGTCTGAGCCCCAGTTTATTCTCTCTGTCTCTGCCTCTCATCCTCCGAACCTCCTCCCTACCTCTCCCAGGTGGGCACCCTCTGCTTCTCTAGGCCCACAGTCCAAAGGGCCACCCCAGCGTCCCTTCAGTGCCAACAGCGGCTGACCGGTGTCTCTGTGTTCCGATCCAGATTCTCAGGGCAGAGATGGGATTGACCGAGCTTGGCGCAGGTGCCACAGGAGCGGTTATGAATGACCAGGAGCAGGGTCCCCTAGTACACAGAGATTTCTGAGGCCCACCCCAGGGGAAGGAGGCACGGTGGGCTGGGCAGTCCCCTCATATGTTGAGTCCCACCGAGGCCTGTCCTCACAGGCCGAGGTCAGGGGTATGAAGAGCCAGGCTCAGGGCCTGAGGCACAGGCACACTCAAAAAGTACGTTTCCTCCTGCTGCAGTCTTGAGACATCTGGGGAACGGGGCGGGGGTGGGGGGGTGGATGATGGCGAGATTTTGTTGAATGAGGGTGGTAAGTATATGCCCAGCTCATGTCATAGGCAGTGAGGGGAACAAGGAGAAAAAAGTTGCCTCCATATTGGCCTTTGGGTCGCAGAGAACCTGGGGCTTGGCTCAAACCCTGTGGGTAGCTCTTGGTGGAGAAAATGCCTTTTGTGTGAAACAGTAGGTTCTAAAGGGTGTGGAACAGAATCAGGCAGGGACTTCACAAAACGGCGTCTTCTTCCTCAAGCCAGGTTTCTTTATTAAGCCTAAACCAGGAGGGAAGTGATTGCTTGTGACAGTCCCTCCAGCGACTTGGGCTCCCTGAGTCTCTATAAAATGGGAGAGTACCGCGCCATCCAGCCTTATAAAATCTCCTAGCAATTTATCAAACAAGATGGCAGTATTTTTTTTTATACGCTTGTTTGAGGTGGGCAGGCAAGGTACCATCACCCCCATTTTAAGGATAAGAACTTGGAAGCTCAAGGCTTTGGCCAGACCAGCCAGTGGCAGCCCAGTAGGACTGAAACCATTCTCTCCCCCCAC